CGCGGGCAGCAGGCTGGCGACGTCCAACAATCCCACGGGCAGCCGGTGTAGCAAAGTTGTTCCCGTGGGGCCGCTTGAACAGATCGTCGGCGCCGGTGGGTTCGTGGAAGGAGTCGAGGACGGAGAGGGAGGGGTCGCCGATGGTCATGCGCGTGCGGTCGTGGGCCTCCGTGCGGGGGGTGTCGATGTAGTGGGCCATGGTTGCGGCCAGAGGGTGGATGTGTGCTAGGTTAGCTGGGGGACATGAATATCGCGGATGGGTGGATGATGTGGGTCGTGGTGGTGTTTGTTTACGCTGGTGTAAACAGTGCCCTTGGCGGCTTGGCGGCGCGACATGTGGTCCTGCGCCACTGTCCATGCGCCATGCGAAGAAAGTCATGGCCGCGCTGTTGGCGAGGTATTGCGGGTGCAAGCGGCATTGACTTTCTTGACAGTCCTTAGCCTCGTATTTGCTCCAGACCGCAGCCGGGAACGACCTGGAGGTGAATTCTCACAGGCCAGACATCACAGAGTCAGCCCGTTCGCACACCGGGATCGGGCAGGTACTCGGCTCAGCCCCAAGTGCAGGCCGATGGGCTCGCCTGATCGCGATTGAGAATGTATAACCAATTTTCAATTGGGGTATTCTATTCCCCAGATGTGAAACCAACATAGTCATAAACAGTCGTAATTCGTCTCTCATCTCTCATCTCTCATCGCCATAACATCTTGTGCAACCCCTCACTCAGGACTGTACCGCCCAAGATATACCCGCTCAATATCCTCCACCCCTCGACCAGCCCTCGGCCGCCCAAACACATCCCGCAAGTCAACCTCATCCGCCTCATCCGCCTCATCAACCGGCAGCGACTTCTTCCGCTCATCACTCGACAGCGCAACCTCCGTCTCCGAGCTCCCTGTCACCGACACCAGGGGACTAGGCTGCGTCGAAGCCGTCGCCACAGCCGCACGAGTAATAAAGTCACGCTCCAGGCCCGTCTTCGGCGGCGGGAAAACCGGCGGTGCTGGCGTCTTCTCATCCACCGCCAGTATGGCAAGGTTACGGCCGAACTTAGACGACTTGACGAGTGACTGAAGCTGGTTGAGCACGATGAACTCGAGCTTGAGCTTGACGCTGTAGACGAATGGGTGTAGGGTGCACTTGAGCGTGAACTTGTCCGTGTAATCCCAGACCGTGAGCATGGCGTCGAGCGCGATGACGAGGACCTGGACTAGCACGAGGAGGCCGATGATTTTGCGGGTGCGCATTGCGTAGCCGTTATTTAGGAAGCGGAAGGTGTGGTAGATGTAGAGCGAGGAGATGATGGTTTCTTGACATGTGAAGACGGTTTGCTGGATCCGCTCCATGATTTGCATGGGGTGGTAGAAGAGCGCGTGGTGCCGCGAGTTGAGGCCGAACTCGAAGACGACGACAGGCGTGTGGCAGAGCACGCCGTTGATGAGGATCATGATAAGAACGTATTTGAGGATCCGCGAGTGGTGCACGATGAGGTGGAGGCGTGACCAGAGGACGATGGAGAAGCCCGTGACGTTGGATACCCAGCCCACCTTGCAGATGATGACCACCAGGGTCGTAGGCGCGTCATTCTTGAACCCCTTGAGGATGTAACCCGTCGTCTGCAGGATGATTCCCAGGGTGGTGATGATGATTGACCAGAAGTAGATGCCAGTGCGGCGCTTGAATGTAACGTAGACCAGCACCAACAGTTCGAGGCTCATCCAGTAGGCAATGGCGCAGAATGCAGCAATGATACAGAAAGCTGTAGGGCTGACGGGCGTTAGTTCGAACACGGGTGGTGTGGTGCTAAACTCACTTCCATGGTAGCCATCCCTTCCGAGCGAAGGTCCAGTCATAGTGGCTAAAGGGGACGAATTTGACGCAGTCAGAATCCATGGCGACTTTGCAGGTAGAAAAACTGCTAATTCTTCAATGAGACTGAGATGCAGAAATCGGTGGCACGGAGCCCGAGTTCATATAGCTTCTATCTCTCACCATGGAGCACCTCGGGGGCAGTCGTATTCCTATTTTAGTGTCAACTCTCAGCTCGACAGACGCGTCCAGCATCGGCATCGAATGCAATCCAAAACGGCAAAGACGAACAACTCTCATATTTCGGAATCATAGAACCATTCCCTCGTTTCTCCGCTCTTTGCGTTTTCGACAGCATCCAGAGCGGAGAAGCAACATATCGATGCATCGCCAAGTAGCTGAGTCAACCAGTCCTGTACAACTCGGCCAGGGCCGCTTCATGCATGTTGATGACAATGCTCTCAAGGCTTCGTGGAGTGCTTGCCATTGGGTTTCTATACAAGCACGGAATTGGCAGCGAGCAAAGGAATGGAGAACTGGTTGGCGCAACTTGGACGTCGGATCCAGCCCTACGGGACATGGCCGTTGCTCGCCAGCCTCTGTCCCCGAGAAGTTGGGGAAGCACCGCGATTATCAATCAGTAGGTAGCTGCACAACGTTTGCTCTGCATGGACCCAAACTCGCCGTTGTGAAGGGAAATCAACGTCGAGGAACCGCGACGAAACTCGTGAGAATACGGTGTTCATCACGCTACACGTGATTGCCCTAGCTCGCTGCACTGCAGTCGAAGCACGAGGATGCATTGACATGAGGCCATGACATCTCAAAACCTAAGTTTATCTCCATCTCCCATTTTTCAATACTTCAGTCAGTAGAAGCTGAGATCAGTCATCCTCTCTGTTCTATCACTCGATCTCGACCACCAAGGGTCCAACTCCTCCCCTCCTTCCCTGCCTACTTTTCAACCACCACTTCAAACAATATCACGACCGGAGACCAACCACTCCGCGCTGCAAGCCACAGCGAATCTCTGCATCTGCACGTCTCGAACCAGCTTCACAGCCCTGAGGAAAGATAGCCAGGCGGAAGATATTCAATACTCTTCCTGTACAGACGGAACTTCCCGCTGAATGCATGATGCAGCCGAAAGGCCTCAGGCTCGCCCACCTTCCCCTCGGCAGAGGGAACATCCATGTCCTCGAAGCATCACAAGGAGCTAACACTTTCACAGCTGCAAGCGACACCAAAAATCTGCACCGAGGGACGCGTTTGCAGTAGGTTTGGCGAATGGGGTTTGCTTTGTCGCCGGACTATCAGAGTCGGCTAACTCAGTATCCCCTCTCAGCCCCCGCATTCCAGAAGGATTATGGAGCCCAGTCGAGCCCGCCATTGGCACTGCAGGCCACCCGCTTCAACTTGGCCGCCTTCTGTTTCTCTGCTGGGCTCTCTCTGGACGACGGGAAGATCCTGCGAGAGTGCTGATCGCCTCATCGTTCCTGCCGAATGATCAGATGGGGATTCATCATTCCCATAATATGCCAATCACCTCGTTGTCGACCGGTCCAAAATGGTCCAGATCCTCCAACTCACACCGGACCGGCTGAGGCTTGACAGCCCTAGGGATGAAGATGCCTATGGGCGGTGACCAACCCCTTCCCGAATCAGCCAAGTGGCAGCCCTATTTCTTTTGTCATTCCCAGTTCCGCATATTCCGACAACCTGGATGAGTTGCATGCAAGGCGTTCTAACTTGATGTCCGCCACATATTTTGCGGCCTCTAGTAGGGCTCCGATGCAAGCCGCTCCAGACGGAGGCCTCGCCTCTCGTTAGGGTTTGATACGCAATCAATACCGCATCTCGGATCCTCTGTGGTCACAGACAAGGACTGCGCGGGACCCTAAGGAATAACCATTTTTGGATCCCCGAAACCTAGCTAAACAGTCTGTGGGAGCATCATATTTGCAGTCGAAGTGGTATCGATGTCTCTCAAATTATGTTTCAAGAGGCCGAACTGTCCCTATGTCCTTGGTCTGCCACCCGAGAACCGCTCACCCCACACAACATCAAGCAGCAGGTCGAGCAATTAAGCCAATAGTATCGTAGGTATGTTCATACGCTCCCTGAGGCTTCAACCTATCTAGGTTGTCGCCAGACCGTTAGAGCCCCGTCGAGAGCCGACGCTTAAATGGCGTGATGACATATAAGCAACGTTCTTTGTCATACATACCGTCGGAACTGGATCCGGCCTTGGGTGGCCAATGTACGACAGTATTTCTAGGCAAGCCGGTTCTGTTTCGCATCAGCAGTCCACTGGGTTCAGAAGCTCCTGTGGCAGGCCGTCGGGCGGTACAAGCTCTGAGAACTCTCCACTCTCCCTTATGCCCCGGAGCACGCACACGACTTGTTGCTTAGTCCGTTGCCCATATCATTTGGACCCCCAAATTTGATCATCTCTGGTACCAACTTTCAATCATGTTTGACCTTCGGGTGCTTCCTTCGGGAGCAATGATGAAATGGTTGATGTTGTAAAGTTTCATTCGTATGATCATGGGATGAATATAATTTCATTGGAACCAAGAGCCTCTAGCCTTGCAGTTTATGGCGCTCTCTTTCAAGTCATGACCTTCTATATCGGCTGCTGAGACGTTATGTGTGAAATGTTTGCTCTGCGTACAAGTCCATCGTCAATATGACCAGCCCCGATGCTGTCACTGCTGATAGACCCAGATTTCGGCCATTTTCTCAAACCTGAAGCCGGCTCTATTTTGTAGCCAAACTTGTCGAGAGATAGGGCAAGCCAATAAGTTAGCATACGGATGGTGATTGCTTCGGATGTTCGTAGACTGCAAACACAAACATCTCAGCCGGTACGTAATGGCCAGCTGCATAAAGATCCCCCGAGCCCGTTCTGGTCTTGCTTTGCTACCGTTATTGTTCTGTCTCATGGAAGTCGAGAGACGGCAATGAGCCATACTGGCGTGCAAGGTGTACAAACTACCCCGCTGTGAATGTCACCTGTAAACGGGCGCGGGTGTTTACACCACTACGTAGCCCATCAGTACCAGAGCTCACCATCCCGCTCATCCTTTGCACAATTCCGCGGGGCGCAAAACACATGAAAGTCGGACCTCAGCTTTTTGTAAGCACTTAATTATTGCAAATTCGGAATCCCTTCCATCAATCTCCAATAGGCGCAGTGCCAGAGTGGTTAATGGGTTAGACTTGAATTCCCTCGTGGATTGAGATCTAATGGCTTCGGCCTCGCAAGTTCGAATCTTGTCTGCGTCGACTTCTTTTTTGTTTTTGTCCTGGATGTCGGCTCATGTGGATGATGGTGCTGGGGTGTATCTTTTCACGGGCTGACCAGCCGTCGGTGAGAGCTCGGATGTGATATTTGGATCCCTTGTTCCGATTAAGTTGCTATGACGTCAGTTTGTTGAGGCCTTGCCGTTTTGAGACTTTATACACAACGTCAGTTCACCATGTTAGAGAAGAGGCCGTAAGGCAGTTTATGATGAATCGCATTCTCTCATAGTTCGTTCTTAAAAAAATGGGTATCACTTTTATCGCATGCCCATCTACAAGAACGCCTTCCAGCCTAACCGATAACGAGCCCAATCACAGCACCAACCACTTCTCCGTAATCTTCCTCGCGCCCTCCATATCCCCCGCAATCGCCAAAAGCGTCTGCATCGCAAACGCCGCCTCCGGCGCAAAATTCTCCACCACAGCCTTCTTCTCCGCGCGCGCCTCCTCGCGCACCCGCGGACTCAACTCCAGAACCTTGTCATACTCGGGTAGGGCGAGATGCATCAAGCCCAGCGAGTGCCACATGAGCCCGACATTAAACGCCGCCTCCTGCTCGTGCACCGCCTTGCCGGACTTGGTGCGCAACTCGCGGTAGCGGAAGAGGAAGGCTAGGCCCTGCTGGATCTGCATCTGGCGGTTCTCAGACTGGCGCTTGTAGGCCCACTGGGTGTAGGAGATGGCGATGCACAGGTTGAGCGTCGGATCTTCGGGCCGTAGGGTGTAGGCGCGGAAGTAGTAATTCAGCGCCGTGGTGTAGGTGCCCGCGACGAACATCATGTGACCGTAGAGGGCGAGGAGCGCAGGGTCGTGTTTCGGGGGCCCATCGACTTCGCCCCATTTTACGCGCTCGCCGTCGGTGAAGAGCCATGTATTCCGGTTTTTGTCATCCAGCAGCAGGTAGTCCATGCCTTTGACTTGGCGCATGACGAATTTTTGCTCGGGGCCGGAGTTGAAAAAGCCGGTTTTGGATCGGCAGAAGCGGTTGATTGTGCTAAAGAGCTGCCAGGCTTCACTGGCGAAGCTGTGCTGCCGGACGTACCAGCGAGCTTGTTCGGTGGCTTTTTGGTCGTCCTCAAGGATGATGGCGCAGGCTGGTGGTCGGTTAGTGGGGTACATAACAGTGGGAAGCACTTGAAGACTTACACAGTGACACAGCGCGCACGGCATACACGCGGTCATCCTCATGAACAAAAACGTTCGCGCGCCCGGCTGTTTCAAGCACGTCCCAGCACCGGTTCGAGTCCCCCATCTTCGCCAACGTCAGAGCGTACTCCAGCAGCACATCCAGCCAGTTATCGAAAGGAATCTTGCGGTACTCCGTCGGAGCTTCGACTTCGACCTGGTCAGGGTCGACAAACTCTTCGTCTTCGGGAAGGTTGACATGCCGATTGTCCCACCGGAAGCCGGTGAATTTAGTGCCTTTATCACGGGGGAAGAAGGCGCGCTGGTTGCGGAAGGATTCAAAGAGTTCGGTTGCGAGAGTTACCCACTCTTCCATGGCAGCGGTATCATCCTCCTTCTTGTCCTCAAGTGCCACCATGGCGTCATAGATAGCCCGAACCACGCCGTCCAGATGCCGCTCATGCTCCTGCCTCGCTTCGCCTCTGTAGTTCGGTTGCCCTGGCCGCTTCTCCTTCCGAGGCCTCCTAGCCCCAGTCCCTCTTGCTTCCTGGATCAGATAGTCGATGTCAGCACCTTCGCCAGTGGTTGAAGGATTGTTCTTCGTGTTTGGTTGCTCCTGTAGAAGCGGTAGACCCGAGTCCCGCACCATCTGATAGGCGCCAATGCGCCGGAGCTGATGAATCATCTTCCACATTTGGTCATCCTTTCCCTGCGCTTGATACAACTTTGCAAGACCGACGAGAAACTGCGGGTCTTTGCTGTTGTACTTCAGATGCTGAATGCTTCGCTTGACGTCCTCGTCGCGGCCCAGGGCTTGGTAGCATATAGCAATCTCAAAGTAGAAGACCGAATCCAAAACTTGAGGGGTGTTCAGCAGCGGCTCATAGAACCGAAGAGCCTCGGTATAGTGGCTTGACTCTCGCAGAGCATCACCGACCTCCCGGAACAGTTCGGGATATTCGTAGAGATAGGATATGTTTGACAGGTCCTCCGGATGCAAGAACTCCAGATGGAACTTGAAAACGTGAGCAGATTCAAAAAGAGGGGACATCCCATACCTTAGCCTCTTCAAAGTGCTCCGGTCCCATCCACAGTCTGATCAGACCAAGCCTCTCGCGCATTTCGACAGGCAAACTTTCGCCGTATAGCGAAGGATCATACCTCCCAGGAATGAACTGTGGCACCTTGATCCTCCGCGGTTGATCCTCCACATCCCACTCGGTATCATCGGGAAATTCATCCCAGTACGTCTCTTCCGCCCGACCAAGAAGCCAGCGCGAGATGGACCGGAGCCGAAAGAGAGCCTCCTCGTAGCGTTTCGCTTGGTTAAGCAGATCCACGAAGAAGCTCATGAGTTGCCAGAGCATGTCGGGGTCTAGACCCGGCGGACCCTCCATAGCATTCTCGAAGTATGCCTCGAATACTGGAACAGCGGCAGCCGTATCCTTCAGCGTGCTTGTAATCTCAGCCAATTCGATGAGAACCTCGGTGTCGTAGGGTTCGGTCTTGAGTAAAACGAAGCACTCATTCTTCGAGCGGACGTGATGGCCCAAGGCGCGATGGTTCTTCATTCGCCCAACACGGGCCGCGTAGTCTTTGGGGTTCATCTCGAGAATGCGTGAGTAGCAGTATCCCAGCTTCTCCTTCGTGGCGCGGTCGTCGATACCAATCTCGTTGAAGCGATCGACAACATACCACCACGCAGCAGCGTCAGCGGCAGAGTGGGCGCCGGCAAACAGAGCGCCGAGAGCATCTTCAAACCGCCCTTTCTTAACGAGAATCTCAGCGATTGTTCCATGCAGAGGGAAAACTTCCGGGTTAATCTTGACGGCCTCCAGAGCATACTTGTATGCCGAGTCCCAGTCCTCCCTAAGCCAAGCCTTTGTCACAAGTCCATTAAGTCGCGCAAACTCGGGACTCTGCTCTGCTTCGGCCTGCTGTCTCTTTCTCGCTTTCTTCCCTATCCGCTTGGGTGCCGCAGTGAGCCGGTTTCGAGCAGCAATCTGCGCCGCTGTCATACGATGTGCTCCTTCTAGCCCCCTAGAAGCGCGACCTTTCTTCTTTGAGCGCACCGCTCCCTCGAGCGGCTCATCCAGTTCATCATCCAATAGGTCATCAGGTTCGGAACCCTGTTCGGAGATGGCGTATTCCGGATCATCAGAGGAGTCCTCCTCTGGTACAACCACGTCGTCGTCGTCGTCTTCTGGTTCATCATCTTCGTCAGATCCGGATACCTCGAAATCGATATCGCGAATCAGCATCTGGTCGTTCATTTCCCGATAGCCTGAGTAGGGTACTGGAGGGTCAGGATATGACCCGCCCCGAGGATCGCCATAGCTGTATGCTGACTGGAGAGCTGGATCTGCGGTTTGGAAAAAGGGATACTGAACGTTGTCCCGCTCGTCATACCCTGGCTCGGGGTAATTCATGTCGGATATAGCGAGCTGTATCGAGCCAAGGATGTCTGAAGAAACAGATCAGTCAAGGTTCGTTATCCACCCCAACTAATTCATGGAAGGGGACGTGGAAGAGCTCGGTCGGTGCGATACATTTGACGTTGCCACGAGAAGGAAATGATAAATTCGGTCCACTCGAAAGTCGTCCTCCGACTTTGACCAAACACCTTGCCGCAACGCTTGGCATAAACACGTGACACTGTACACAGTGATGAACAGTAAACAGACCAGGAAGCGTTTTCACTAAGAGCCTAGTCGGCATATAGGTAGAGTAGGCTGACACTTAGTAGGCCGATCACAGGAGCTTCCGTAGTCTAGATGGCTACTCGTGGAGCACAGCAACACACTGAAACACCTACTCTTCATCGAGCCGCAGGAGCTCGTTCTTATCCCCAAATGGTATTTAACCCTAACGCCTCGCAATGCCATAGCCAGCCCAATTGATGCAATGGGAACTTCAGACGCTTTCGCCCGCGTCCCCCATCCCAACCATTTCATATGTGCCCCCACCATCCCTCCCCCGTCCTCGCCCTCTCCCTCGACCGACACCAACGCCATCTTCTTCAGATTCCGGCGCAGCCTGTGCACTTGATGACTCTGCAGACCGCGGAGTGCCACCGAAGCTGATCGGCCGGAGCTCCCGCCATCGACAGGCCCACATCCCAAGGCTGGTCATGGTGCCTGCGCTCGTAACTTGAAGCGCCCACCAGAAGCTCCAGTATGGGATCGAGCGGGTATAGAGTGAGGTGATGATGAGGTGGAAGAAGTGGAGAGTGACGGCAAAATCCAGCACAAGCTTCGAGCGTGCGACGATGAGGAGGATCAGAACAGCACTAGAAAACGAGATTAGCACTATATCAAGTACGAAACAGGGTAGCCTAGACGTACCCGACGACGCTATTCAGCATCCAGACAAGACCTAGCATCCACCCAGCGGTGGTGTCGCTGCGGATCGTCTGCCAGTCGAACAACAGCCCCAGCTTTAGGTCTTTCCCAGCCACCAACGCAGTGAAGACTATGAGGACGGTCGCAGAAACGTAGTACGCCAGCTGTAAGACGAGAATCTGAGAGAGAATGCGCAGCGGCGCGAGGTCTGCGAGAGCGCCAGGGCGCGGAGGACGGCGCTTGCGCGGCATGGCCTTGTGTTGTAGCAGTCGTAGTGCGGTCTCATTAGGCGTCTAGCGCAGTAAGCTTGCGATGGGATGAATACGCGATGCCAGTAGTATGAGTCCAGTGATCGGTGAAGTGTCACAATAAAGTCGTGTTCCTGAGCTGCGCCCGAACGGAGTACGTTTCTGATGACATGGATAATCATTGGAGGCTGGCGCGATCCTCGAGGGAAGGAGTCGGACCGATGCCAAGACAGCGCGTCACTTTTCTCCAAGCAACATCTTTACGCTC